GCCTTCCATCCTTTGGTTGAACTCCCGCGCCTTGTTGAGCAGCCGCCTCTCAGACGCAGTCCACGCAAACACGGGCGCGGTCGGCACTGTGACGTTAGTAGAGGCCAGGGATTGCACCTTCTCCAGGTCCGCCCGGCTGTCCTGCGGGCTGGGCCCCGTCAACAGCACCTGCGCCCCAGCGTGTGAGCTGAGCCGATCATGCAGCAGCCGCAGGCGGATCTCCATGTCACTGCAGTAGCAAGCCAAAGGACACAGGACAGGCACAGCTGCTGGATCTGGCGGCGATCGGTTAGGTTAGATCGTTTGGTTGCGTACACACCGATGGAGGATCCGCGCCTGCACGAAGTTGTTTTGCCGTTCTGCTTCGTATTTTCTCCTCTGCAGGTGGTCAACCTCCCTGAGCGCCTCCAGACACCCCCTGAAGTATGCCTCGTGGGCCGCAAGCCGCCGCCTGGCGCTGTAGAGCTCCTTCTGGATCTGCTCTGTGGACGCCTCGTCACCTGAGCAGTGGTGGCAGGCAGGCAGGCAGACAACAAACAAGCGGTGGCTGGTTCTGCCTGCGGTCGATGTGCTGTGTGGCGCTGACTGACCCCATTCCATAGCAGCTCTGAAGGACTCCTCAAGTTTGGTGACTTGTCTGTGGTAGTGGGTGCCCTGCAGCTGGGCCAGGGCGGCGCGGAGGATGGAGCTGCGCTTCGCCTCCTGCACACGTGATCCATCCATCCATCCATCAGATCTGCTGACTGCCACCTCCTTCCCTTCTCACTTACCATGAGTATCTCTTGCATGACGATGAGCTTGTAGTAACCTGCACACCTCACACACCACACCACACCACACCGGCACACAAACGTCCGGCCATGGCCATGGCCATGCACCGCTGCTCCTCTCTCCCTCTAATCGGCTTGTCCTGTCCCTCCATTGTGTGCCTCTTTTGGCTGGCTGACTGACCCACCTTTGACACTCTTGAGGTTGTATCTCCTCTTGAGCCACCTGGGCCGCTTCAGCAGGCTTTGCTCAAGCGAAACATCTCCCCTGATCTGCACCCTCTCCGTCTCCCTGCCGTCAGCCGTGGCCGCACCGCCTTCGGCTGATGCCGCCACTCGGACGCCCGGGCCAGCCGCTGGCTGCCTTGGTGGTGGTTTGCGCTGCTGGACAGGCACATGGATGAACGAGACGGGAAGCGCCAATGCTTCTCGAAGGGTCTGAATGAATATGCACCCACCCACCCACCCACACACACACACACACACACAGAAAGTGCAAAGGTGGCAGATGCGCGGAGTGCATGACAATGATGCTGTTGCCTTGGCTCTTTCGTCTGCTTCTTACCGCCCATAAGATCCAGAGGAAGTGGCAGATGATGTTTGTTCGCCTTGATCTCATCGCAGGGCGACCAGGCGGCGTAGATCAATGTCCAAAAGACAGAAGCCGCCTCCCGCAACTGCGAGCTGCATCTGCAATCTTAGCTCGCTATCCTGGAGAGAAGCGGCGACGGAATCCGGCGACGGAATCCCCCGTGGCGCACGAGCCGAAATGAAGGGTCCCGGCGGTAAAGAACAAAGTGACGCGTACTTGCTCTGATCATCCACTTCTTGTGTGTGTGGTTGTGTGTCATCTATCTGCAGCGGTGTTCGCACAGACGCGGTTCCCCCTCAACAAGGCCGTGGCGGCGCAGCCGACCAAGACCAAGCAAGGCAGCTCTCCCTGGGTCACACTGCGGGTGCGGTCGGCCACACACCACCACAGCAGACCTGTGCATCGCGGTGCACGTGTGCTGCCTATCCTATGTGTGTGTGATGGTGTGTATGGTTCAGAAGAAGGGCGAGAAGCAGAAGGGCGACGAGGGCGAGAAGAAGCGGCCTCTCACAGAGGCCGCCCCTCCCGGCCATGCGGACAAGAAGGCCCAGGTGGTGATGGACAGTCAAGGCCAGGAGGTGCGGTCGGAGGTCTTCCACAGTGCCATGGAGTTCCCACCCCCGCCCACCACCGACACCGACACACCCCGCGAGCCAGAGAAGCCACCCAACAAGAAGCGCGACCGCCCTCCACTGGTCAGCCAGACACACCGACACACTGGGACAGCCACAACACACTCATCTCGTCTGGAGTTCGTCTGTTTGTGTCTTCAGGCAAAGACCGTCGAAAGGAGTCCCCCCGAGACGTCGGTGCCGCAGACGAGCAGCGTCACGTCGGCCATCTCCCAGGCCGACCAGCCCGAGCAGACGGTCAGCACCGGCAGCGACTACAAGCCTCCCGCGATCAGCATCCACACTCCGTCCGGCAACACCATCCCCTTCGTCCACAGAAGCGTCACGGCACTCGCTGACACACTCCTGCCCGCCACCCTGCAGGCGGCCGCACTGCAGGCCCAGGCATTTGCAGGAGAGGCAGAGGGAGGGGGAGGGGAGGGGCAACAGCTGCAGCAGGACAAACAGCCTGCAACGGAGAGAGAGGGGGTGGTGGGGGTGGGTGTGGGTGACCAGCTGAGTCAGCTGCTGACGGGGGTGCCGAGTGCTGGCGGCGGTGGTGGGCTGTGGATTGAGGGCGGGAATGGCGAGGAGGCCGTTTATGTCGACACCATGATGCGTGAGCCGATGAGCAGCCCCTATGTGGGGGCCGTGGCTGAGCCCTTCAGACGCGGAGCCATACCGTGCTGCGATTTGGTCATGTGGATGTGGCCCATGTGACCTACTTGCAGACAGACAGACAGCTCGACAGACCGACACACACTCGAGATCAGATTTTGGTCGGTGCTGCTGGAAGGGGTGTTTGATCGTACTTTTATCGGTGTGTGATGTGATGCATACGTAGTGTTATCTAGATAGAGGTTGTATTGGTTGCGTCGGTGGCGTGTTGGAGGGAGCGCTTACTGCGTTTGTTTGTTGTAGGGTAGGAGTGGGGCGGGGCGCCTGGTAGCTATGTTGCCATCCATGCATCCATCCATCCATCCACACATTGACACGTTTGTGTATGTTTCTTACTCTCTGCCACTTATCCATCCATTCCATTCCATTCCGCCACACCCTCCCTCCCCCCTCGCCTCTTCTCCCCCATCCATCCATCCATCCACTCATCCACTCACTCGATCCTTTTTGTGATTGATTTCACTTTTTGCAGTTAGTTGATTTATCCGCAGTTGGCTTGGCTTGGCTTGGGGGGTCTCACTCCACTCCCCGTGTGTTTCTTTCTCGATGGACGCTTGATGGCATGGCATCGGTGGGTGGACAGCGGGCACAAAGATGCTGTGTTGTGTGTGGTCGGTTCGTTTCTTATAGACAGACAGACAGACAGACTTGGTGAGTATGGATGGGATGGGATGCTTTGTGTTGTGTGTATGTCTGCGGCGTGTGTGTCTGTGTGAGTGTCTGTGCCGAGCGAGTGTGCTGCGTGGCGTGGTTGCTTTCACACTCACACAGACGGATACACTCACTGGCTGCACTACCTACCGCGTCAGCTGCTGTCGTCCTTTATGGTCAAGGCACGTCAACGAATTACAGTAACCAACTCACTCACTCATCCAAATCAGTCGTGTGTCAAGTCACGTTAGCTGCACACCCACAACACAGCCCAGCCACCACATCCCTCACACGTCAGTCGCGACCCACAGCCACCCACTCGGCATCGTCAGGGATCATGTTGTCCCCTGGCGGCTCACGAGACGCGTCAACCTGCCGATCGAAGGCCGCCAGACTCACCACCGCATCGGTGCCTGGACTCATCAAGTGCAGCTCGCCATGCACCATACGCCACACACCCCTCTCGACCAGCTGAAATGAAAGACAGGGAAAGGCCCACAGGGCAGGCAGACACACATGGTATGGTCTCTTCCCCTCTCTCGGTCCTGCCTACCTTGTTGGCTGCAGTCTGGAAGGCAGGCTGGTGTGGCGCCAGGAGGATGACCCGTCGTGTGTCGGCAAGCACCCACGAGCTCTCCCCCTCATTGTTCAGGTCGCTCAGCAGGTCAGGATCCACCCCAGACCGTGGCGCGTTGATGATAAGCGTGTCTGCCCCTTCCGCCAGCGCCAGCGCCCCCTCGTGTGGGCGCATTGTCTCAAAAGCAAAGGGCCGCGACGAGATGGCATCAGGGGCCTCATCGAGCGTCCTGCCACACACACAGACGGACAAAGGATGCAAAGGCGGATGGATGGATGGATGGACGTGTCATCAGTCGCTTACCGTGAGAGGGCATCGATGATGAATTCGTTGCCGTCACAGCAGGACACGGCCCTCACGTGTGGCAGCAGGCTGAGGCCTAGGTAGCCCATTCCAGCGTCCAGCTCACACACGATGCTGTCCTTCGGCGGCAGCAGCCGCCTGACTTGTTGGAGGAGGAAGGCGAAGTGCTGGGGGTTGTGTGGGCGGGGGATTGGGGGCGTGGTGAGGAGCTGGAGCGAGGATTTGGCGTCGACGCTGTCTCGCAGGTAGCCGTCTCCTTTCCCCCAGATCTTCCGCCACTTGGCTCGCTGCAAAGTTGCCATCTGAGATGGGTCATCCTGCACACATACACACAACACACAAATTGCATAAACCGTCACTCATTCATTGTGGGCGTTGAATGCATTGCTGGCTGACGTTGAAATGCGCCCAGATAGAGTGGAAGACGTCTGTGCGGCTTCTCAGGTTTTTGTTCAGCACGTCGATGGCCGGCCGACACCCGGCCACGTTCGCCGCATTCCAGTACTCTGTCAGCTGCACCAACCCGCTGGGCCGCTCGACAATGAACCCAAATGCCCTCAGATCCCCCGTCCGCATCTCCGCATCATAGATGCTGATCTTCATCCGGTTCAGCGCACCCTCAACCGCACTTGCCGCATCCGCAATCCTAGGGTGATGCGCCCCGCACTCAGACGCAGGAACGAACCTGCTGCCGTCGGCCCCCTTCTCCCTCAGCCCCAGCTGAATCGGAGAGGCAGCGTCGCGCCGAAAGGGGAACAGACGAGCGCTGATTCGATAGCCGGTAGTGGGGCCGATGAAGACGTCCACACGGCCGCTGCCGCCCAGTCTGCTGGCGAGAAACTCTCTGGCCGCCTGTGCGGGGGATGACAGGGCCGATGTGTCGATCACCAGACGAACCGATTCGGTGTTGTCAGAGGTGAAGGGTGACGGGGTTCGATCACGAGAGCCGCTCGATTCCTGCACACGTGCTGCGGGGAAGTACTGATCGACGGATGTATGCCTCGTCCGCCGCCTGCGGGTCCCCTCATCGCCTTGCCGCCTCGCCAAGCCATGAGAGTCCCGCTGCTGACTGCCACCTCTCTGATCGCCTTCTTCTCGTTTAACCCTCGCCCGTGGTCTCCTCTTCTTTATGACTCCTCTCCACTGAGGCTGCGACTCCCAATTGTTGCCGAACCGAGGCTCTCCAGATCCCCGAACGGGTAGCGCATCTGTGGAGTCTTCGGCGGTTGGTGCGGGTGGCTCTTTTGCAATCGGTTTCCGTCGTGCTCGCAGTGGCCGATAACATCTCGGTTCTATACTCCTGGCCAGTGGAAGCAGCGTGACGAATGCGGCACGGGCACCACCAGAGGGGATGAGAACGCACATCGCGACGGCAGCAGCGACCAACAGCATGATCATACTCGACGTCCGGGGAGTCAGTTGAGAGGTTGCACCTGTGCTGACGAGCGGCGACGAGCTGCATGCATGCCATGTAGCACACACACCACAGCCACATGTCGACAGTGAGTGATGAGTGCTCATCCATCCATCCTCCCATCCTCCCTCCTTACTTGACCAGATGTGGATGCACTGTGAGATGATCTCACAGAGGAGGGCTGCCAGAGCAGGCAGGAGATAGATCAGCACCTCCACAGTCTTCCACAGCAGCTCACGAGGCTGGATCTCCTCCATTTCTCGTCTCCCTTCCTCAGCAAGCTGAGCGCGCAGACGTTTGCAAGCTGTGCGCAAGCGGCTTCATCCCTTCGGCCGCCGTATGATGATGCGTCGGCCCATCCGTGCGCTGGCGGCCCTGTTCGCGTCGTCCCTGGTGCAGCAGGGATGCGTGAGATTTGTCCATGCATCAGCAGCAGCGCAGCCCTCGCTGGCCTCACGCATCCGGGGAGCCTTCATGGGCGCCGTGGTGGGAGATGCGCTGTGCCTCGGCAGCCACTATGAGTGAGTCAGTGAGTGAGAGCCAGCCGACACGCACAGACACACAGACAGACACTGTCAGACGAATCATGCATCTGTCTGTCTGTCTGTCTTTCTGTTCTTCCCTGTCTATCTACCAGGTATGATGCCAACAAGATCTTGGCGGCGTACGGCGGGAAGCCCATCGAGAAATACATGGCGCCGGGCGAACACATGGGCGGGATGACGCACGGGTCGGTCGGTGACGCCATCAGGGACAGAGGATTCCCTGAGGCCATACATGTCCTGTGTGGGTTGTGTGCTCAGGGTGGGATGGGGACAGCGCAACTACCATCCGTAGGCGCCGCGCCGACACACACACACGGGCAGACACGGGCAGAGAATGAGCCGTCCTGTCTGTTCTGTGGTTGTGTGTTGATGAATGCAGGGGCAAGACGGCCGGCGAGCAGACAGACTACGGCGACTACAATGCCCTCGTCCTCGAGTACTTCGCCACGCGCAAATACAAAGACAATGGTCAGTCGGTGGACTGCGCTGGATGGATAGATGGCCACATTTACTCACAAACATTGCAGCAACTTAACTTGCGCCTGTGTGTGCAGATCCCCCTCTGCCGATCAACAAGAGCGAGCTCATCTCATTCTGGCAGGTGCGGTGGGGTGCGGGCTGCTTCTGGATGGGCGGACAGGCGGACAGAGGGAGGGACTCATTGTGTGTGTCTTGTTGGTTGCTTTGTGTTGTGTGTTGTGTGTTTGTCAGCGGAAGATGGAGACCTGGGTGGGCTGGAAGTGCACCCAGACCCGCCAGACGCTGCAGCAGATACAGCAGGGCGTGCCGCAAGACCAGCTCGGCGGCATGTCTAACGCCATGGCCATCCGCCACGCCGCCGCATTCGCCGTCTACTCTGACGAGAAGGCTCTCATCGACGCATCCACCACTGTCATGTTCACCCATCGGTGAGAGGGTGTGGACCACAGAGAAAGGCACATACAGACATAGATGAGTCTTCCTTTCTGTTCGTTCAGGAATTCCCATGCGTTCCTGGCCGGCCCGTACCTGAGTCGTGTTGTGCATCGCCTCCTTTACAAGAACATGGGGCTGCGGGAGGCCATCGAAAGCGCCATGAACGACCAGGTGCGGACCGGAACAGCAGAGACCTCTCTGCCTCCCTGCGTGTGCTCATATGCTCCACTTCGGTGTGTGTGCGCGTCAGGGCACTGACGAGTTCATCCGTAGCAAAGTCAAGATGGCGCTGTCCAAAGTGAGTGGGAGAGTGAGGACCCCACACACGCATATGATCCTTTGCGCACATTGGCAGGTTGACGAGGCGGCGGACCCGAGCAAGCCGCTGTCTCAGGAGAAGATGGTGGACGATTTGGCCCTGACGTCGATGGCTCGGCTGTGGGATGTGGGCAAGAGCGAGCCGATAAAGGTCGGCAAGGCTAGCCCCACCGAAGGCACTCTGCCGGGAGCCATCTACTTCATTCTCAAGTCAGTCAGTCAGCCATCCGGCCAGCCAGCCAACGATCTGTGCACGTGTGTACCGATGGATGCTGTGTAGGTACCAGCAGCTGCTGCCCGCCCTCCAGGCCAACGCCATGGTGGGCGGCGATAACGCATCAAGATCCATCGCCGTCGGAATGGTGAACACATGCACAGAAAGCTGTGCCACACATGGATCCGCACACGGCATGTGTGTGTGTTTCAGGTGTTGGGTGCGTATGAGGGCGTGGAGGCCATCCCCGAGAGCTATCGGACATCGCTCAAGCACTGGCAGCGATACAGCGACTGGCTGGACCAGATGCCGCTGCTCAAGAAGGGCAGTGGGAAAGACGAGCTGTGAGTAGGGTAGAATGGTTGTGGTGGGGGTGTGCACTTGATACGTATACTTATGTGTGTACAGGCAGGCGGCTGTGTTGTGTGTTCGTGCTGGTTGTTGTGTGTTGGATGGGCTGCATTGCATCCGCGGCGGCTGTATGTATTGTGTGTCGATATATAGCTGGCAGGTGGTCGCCATCGCGAAGCGAGCCCATCCACCCAACCAGGCAGTGTGCTGGTGTGTTCACATCTGCATGGACTCGTGGCTGACTCCGGGCAATTAATCGATGCCAACCCCGTGTGTTGAGGAAGCTCCTTGATCACACATACTCGTTCCAGGTGTCTTTCATGCACACACACATCATCCATCCATCCATCCATCGGTGCCTCGAGCAGACGGACACGCCCACCCGTAGACAGTCTACACACGCCATCATACAGACAGACCCACGTGGGAAAAGTAAGAAGGGCAAGCTCATCTGTGTCCATCCATCCACTTGTCTGCCAGACACGTAGGCAGGGAGTGAGTCAGACGGGACAAACCCTCTTCCCACAACCATTAATGTCGATAAATGCTATCCACAGGCGGGAAAGAATGAGCAACTGAGAATCCAAGGCCCGGCGAAACGAAACAAGGGCGGGCGTGTGTTTCCGATTCTCTCTCGGATGTGTGTGTAGATGCACGCATGCATCATCCATGGGCCGCTAGCTATCCATATCCCTCTTTCTACGTCCGCGCGTGCATGTTTATCTTCGTCGGCTGGTGTGATCTACATCTTGAGGCGCTTCGTCAACTCCTGACACACACAGACACACAGAGGGAGAGGGAGGTGTGCATCGATAGCCTCGAGACGTCCATCTCTTTCGCGTATTTACCACTATGTCCTCGCCCGACGTCGGTGTCTGGTCGGCCGTCTGCTCCAAAGAGATGGCAGAACACAGACACACAGACACACAGACACACAGAGAGAGGGAGAGAGGGAGAGATGCTTCTGTAGGGTGTTGGCCGTCTGTGTGTGCGGCTTACCCCCTTGTGGGGCTCGGCCATGTCCGTGGCCTCGGGCGTCGCCTCCTCAGCCTCATCCGCCACCCCATCCAACTTGTGCTTCAACCTATGCGGCCACAGACACACACATGTGTGTATGTGTATGAGTGATTTCTCTTGGCCCTTGGCCAGCTGCTCACTCAGGCACATCCTTGGTAGCATCCTCCTGTGTGCGCTTGTCGTGCGACTCCGGACGAACGGCCTCGAGCTTCCTCTGCAGCGCCTCGTTGGCCTGACACACACACACACACACAAAGGGTGACACCACGGCAGAATGCGCCTCGGCACACGAATACATGAACACATACCTGTTCGGCGTCGTGGCATTGCTGCTTCTCGTCGGCAACCTTGCAGACAGACAGACAGACAGACAGACAGCAACGTGTGTGTGGTTGCATGTGCGGTAGTAAGTAGATGAAGCTACCTGCTGCTGCAGCTCAGCTATTTTGGCCTCCAGGCCGTCTATCTCACCGAGGAGCTTCTCCTGCAGTCAGGACACCATACAAACGCACCCAGACAGACAGATGACAAGGTGTGCCGCATAGGAGTCCGCCGACGTGTGTGCTCCCACCTGGTTTGACTCGGCCGTCTCCAGCAGCCCCTGCCTGCTCTTGAGCAGCTTGCAGACCCCCTCCACCGCCCCGTTGTGCAGGGCGTGCAGCTCATTGCAGCGGCCTGCACGCCACACAGACAGCACACAGCTTGCTCGCAATATGGCAGGCAGTCGTAGGGAATAGACTAGTCCTCACGCTCAAGGAATTTCCTCTCCTCGTAGAGGCTGAGGAGCTTCTCGTCATCGTACTGCCTCAGCTCTGCGACATGCACACACACGGCGCATACCATCATGGCCACGTTCGGTTCCACACAAAACGCTCCCATATTTCTTCGCTCGAGGCCTCTCTCAAGCCTCTCTTGCAACAAGTGCGCAACGTCAGTGACTTCCACACACAGCCTCACCCTTCAGCAGCTGGCGTCTTTCCACGAACTGTTGGGCAAAGGCCCTCTCGAGGCTGGCCGCATCGAACGACATCGGTCGGTCGGTTAAGGGTGTGACACCTGTCCCTAAGCCCGGCGTCCTTCCCTTGCGATCTCAAAACGCGATCAGAGGAGCAGGCGTCGGCGCGGAGCAAGGGGCTGGTGCTGCCTTCTTGATCTTCGCAACGGTGATGGTCCAGATCTTCTCCTCGTGCTACAGTGGGAATTCTTCTCCGCCTTCCGGAGACTCCCGGCCACCAACGGGTGTGGATCTTCTCCCGCATGTCCTTCACGAAGCCATGTGCGAGATGCTGTCGGCCTCAGACTGCCTCTCCTACCGCTCGTCGTGTCGAATCTGCAGATCTGTCGTCGGACCGGCCTTCGTCACGCGGCGCATTCATCGGTGGCTCGAAAGCAACCGCCTCACAGACATCTTCGCCATCGAGCCCTCACCATCTGGAGCAGTATCGTCGCTGTATGACCTCTTGGCGATGGTTGGTCTGACGGCGTCTGGCGAGGTGCGGTACTTGCGCTATCTGCTGGGGCTTCTAACCGCACTCGAGTGCAGCGGAGACTGGGACGGTTGGGTCTGGCGGCTCCATGTAATGAAGCACTTCGGCACTCTCTACCCCATCCCGCATCCAAACCGCCCCATTGTGCTGAAGCCAGCCCACGTTCGACAGGCGTTCTGCATATCGCGTCGCTACTCGCTGCCGGACAGCGTGCGGCAGTACCTGCTGTTTGGGCAGTTCCTGATGGACGCATCAGGTATCGACTTGTCTGTCGAGCCGGACCACAACGGGAGTGGCTGGCTTGGGGCTAGATGGGCGCCGCTTCAGTGGTACATGCTTAGGTGGTCGTGCGAAAGCGTCTGTCTGGCCGGTGGTCCCTTCGGCTGCACCTACGATGAGAACGACCCTGTGTGCACTGGTATGTCGAAAGGGGGGAGGGGATAAGGAGCAAGAGTCCACTCCGCCCTCTGTCTCCATGCCGCATGCAGTGTACGATCGGACGGGTGATTATCCATCGTGGAGTGACTGTTCCTGTTCCTCCTTCAGAGATGCTGTCTGCTCCCGGTCAGGGCGTCTGAACTGCCATGCCAGTCCAGCCAGACAGATCTCGTTCTCTCTCTCTCTGTCTGTCTGTCTGTCTGTCTGCCTGCAGGATTGGTAATTTGGTCACCATCCTCGTTCGTAACGTGGCCGTCACACGGGCCTCTGCGGCAGGTCATCCCCACGTGCGCGACCGAATCCACCACTTGACCGCCCAATCGCCGCCGGTATTTGGTCGACACACAGTGACCACAGTCGCCGAGGGAGTCCCCGACACACACAATCTCGAGCGCACCGTCTACCTCTGCGGCGACGAGCCACACGACACATTCGTGGCTTACGTGACCTTTCATGTCTATGGCGGGGCCTCGACGGCAAGCGTCCTCCTGCACACCACCGAGCGTCCAGCTGCGAAGGCGGGTGGCGTTGTGGAGCGGTTCCCCAAGACAGTTGCTTTGGCGTATCGTGTCATGGGCAGGGCTGATGTGGAGATACTCCTCGGCTGCCTGTGAGTAGTGAGTGTATGTCACTTCATGAGGCATTCGTGAGGGGCGTTTTATTAATCTTGGTACGTTATTTGGACTTCATGTGAGTTGATCAAGTAGCTGTGTAGCACTTTTTATGATGGGAAGACTGCTCTGTGGACTGGCTCGTGTCGTTCGTGCAAGGTGGCCACACACATACTCTTCATTCGTGTGTCGGGACGGACTCGAAATTGTCTACGACCAAGTGTGAAGGTCTGTCTTCATAGCGGCACAGCTGAGATGGAAGTCTGAGAGACATGGCATCCATCCACTTTAGAGTCGACGCTAAGGCTGCAGACATATGAAAATGCCGGCACTAATGGATGGCGACAGACGCACGAGGACATTCCAGACAAGAGACGGCAGGATATAAAATGTAGGCAACGATGTTGATGGCGAGACCGCACACTCTTGTCGGTTTGGCCTGCACACAGACAGACACACATGCCAGGCCAGGCAGAGCGAGATGTGTGTGTATGTGTGGGTACATGTCTCCGGCTGACCAGTTTGTTTTCGGACTCCTCGCCGCCTCTTCATGTCATGCAATGCAACGCAATGCAATGCAATGGAACGGTGTGTGATGTGTCGTCTAATCCCCCTTTTCGTCGACCTCATCGGGCACGAGAGGGTGTGTGTGTGTGTTGTCTACTTAGGTGCGCTCTTGGGCAAGTCCTGACACACGCACACAGAAGCACACAGAGAGAGAGGGCAGGCGCATCGCATGTGTGGCCGTCTTTGTGCGGTGCAATGTGGCTTCAGCCACTTACAGCGATAGTCGATTTGGTTTTCTTGGCCTCGGCCACCATGTCGGCCACCAGCTTCTGTGCGATGTGTAGGCGGGCCTTGTTAGTGTGATACCCGACCACCTGCACCACACACATCCACTCGCACACACAGCCATCCAGCCGCCCTGTGTGTGTGTGTGTGTGTGTGTGTGTGCTCACGGCTGTGTAGAGACGGTCTCCTACCCTACGGTCTCCGGTGAGGGCTGGGCTTCATCTGGGCTTCGTATGGCGCACGCCAATCGTCGAACTGCTTCTTGAGGATGGGGTCCATGGAGACGATCTGCTCCATACGGCAACAGAGGTCCTGCTTCAGCTTGATGACCTACCACACACACAGCATGGTGCCGTCAGCGTGTGTGAGGCGGTGACTCTCTCAATCGCTCACCGTGTTGCATACATACTTCGGCGTACTTTATGGCCTCCTTTGCCTTGGCGGCCTGCTCGTCGGACCCTGTCAGACACAATAAATCCACACACAAATGACCTCACCCAACACGACCGCGGTCCCCCACCAGTCGAGTTCTTGGCCTTTTCTGCGCACACAAACACAGATGGCAGGTAACACATACATATCCGCCCGTGTGTTGAGGTGGGGTGGGGTGAGGTGGTTTAACTCACCGAGGATCTGTGCGGCGTGGTTGCTGAGGTCGGCGTCGTCCCTGCCGAGGCCGCTCTACTGCATCACCTCGGCGCGGGCCTTCTCCAACTTGTCTCGGATGTCGAGGAGCTGCTGGAGCTCACTGCAGGCACGTTCGAATGCCTTCTCGAATGCCTTCTCGAAGTACGTACACACACACGCACACACACAGACGTGCGCAAGCGTGTATGTTTCTTTGATGCATTTATCCACCCACCCACCCATCACTTCCGCAGGGGTCATGCTCTGCACCAACCTGGCCTGAACACAGCGCACCACACACCACATTACACACAGCCATGGATGGATGGATGGATGGATAGATGGCCATTGTGGGCATTCTCTCTCTGACCTGTGCCGATCCCCTCTTGGCGATCACCTCCTTCCCCTGCCGGACGAAGCTGGCTTGGCGGTGCACCCATTCCACCATCTGCTTCAGTTGGCGGTCCATGTGTGGCAGCATCTCTCGCACCTGGTTGATGGCGTAGCGTCCCGGATCCTCCTCGTCACCGTCGCCGTCTTCATCCCTGTTGATACCCACGTACAGACACACACATGATGGATGAGTGTAAATGAGAGCCTCGCTGGCTGCGACGCATACACGGTGTCGATGATGTGCAGCAGATGAGTGTAATGGCAGCTCCTCCTGCGATAACACACGAGAGACCAGCCCATGCACCCGTGTACATGATGCGCTGTGTTGTGTTGTGTTGTGTGTCAAGGACGCACCTCTTCATGTCTCGCTCGGCGATGTCCGGCAGGTTCAACACGGCCTGGCCCAGCTTCTTGACCTCGTCCTCCAGCCTGCAACGCGCGGCGTTGTGGTTTCTGTCTGTTGGCTTCTTCCGTCTCACTCCTTGATCTTGGCTTCGTATTGAGCCATCTTGGCTTGGTGTTGAATGCCCAATCTATCAGACCAAAAGACGCGGTGTCCATGTGTGCCCCATTCCTCTCTCTCTGCATCTTCCTGTTTCACCGGTCGTACGCCGCCTGGATGGGCCTCACGATCTTCTTGAGCCTGGCAGCTACAGAGAGCCAAACGAGACATGCATACGTTCGTGGCAGCCAGTGTGCTCGCCCGTCCGTCTTACGTGTCTAGCTCGTTGCGAGCGATGTCACGCTGTTCCTTGACCTGAACCACATAGCCGCGCAGCTGCTCCACATTTCCGCGCGTCCGCAAGTATTTCTCTGTCAGTGACTCCATAGCCCCGCCTTGTCGGCTGTCACATACACCGGATGCCCTCAATACACACACACGCTGGCGCATAATGGTTGCTTACCTTGATGAGTCTGTCCGCTGACATGTATGTGCCCACCTCGTTTGATATCTCCCGACACATGACGTCAGACGCCTGCCCCTTGTCGTCTTGCACCTACAAAGGAGCGGTGCAGGTAATTCATGGCACTGACCTCGTAGACCCGTGCGAGACGGGAATCGGCTGAGCCGCGCTTGGAGACGGCATCGTAGACCTGTTACGTGTACTCGGGTGGCGCCACCGGCCTGATGGATCGATTGAAGAAGCCACATGCAGTCAGTCGTGGCACACTCAGGCGGCTGCTGTGCGGGCTGACTGCTGCTGCATCTTGTTGAGCCGTTTGATGACAACTGGTAGCCCTGTGTCCTTCCTCTTGCCCCGCCAGAGGTTCCCATATCTGTGCACACATACACACACACGGGCGTATGTGCGGTTTCTGTCAGTGTGCGTGGCTGAGCGCGCCTGTCACTGATGTGTTGCGTACCTCCCGCTGGCCATCGGCAGTGGTTCTACGTTATACCGCTGTAGGATGTGGGCGTCATGCAGGGCCCACCAAACCTCCACCTGACGTCAGCATGTGCGCCGCTGGTCATCAAAAGCCGCTGGTCATCAAAAATTCCTGACTCCACGCTCAGCCGACCCACCTGTCGTCAGGACACCGCCCTCGTCTGCGTCTGAAAATCAGAAGTCCGTTGTTCGCTCGACAGCTCTGTGTCGCGTGCATTCATGACTCACTCACTCACCGTGTTTGTCGGGGTGATGTCGATGGGCTACTCTGCTCACTGTCAGGCCTGAGCGCCCTTCGAGCCCTCTGAGAAAAGGCATACAAAGGAGACATCCATCCATCCATTCACAACGTGTGTAGTCTGCTGTGTTGCATTCAGTAGAAATGCAGCATCTCGGTGTTTGTGAGGGCCTCGGAGCTGCTCGACTGGTCCTGGGTGCATTGCTCGGTGGCTCATGTGGGTGGCGATGGGCTGCGCGTGGCTCCAGGCTGACGTGACGCACTGCATGCATTCACACATCAAGACAGCCACAGGCCCATTCACTCGTGTCAACACGTGTGTGGCTCTGTCCAGTCGTACCGTTTGGGCTGCTTGACGTCTCTTGGAGTCTCTGCCTCGGTGTCCTTTCTGGCCTGCTCAACCTGCACACGGGCACCACACCACATCAGGCACACATAGAAAGAATGATGTGCACGTCTGTGTGTAGACAGGTACGCGTGTGTGCTTGCGAGACGACTGACCAGGTTTCTTTGGTGTCGAAAGTCTGAGAGACATGACCCCCAGAGACGCGGACATTCCGAACATGAGACAACAGAATATAAAATGTAGACAGCGATATTCAGGGACGGGCATCCATCCACTCTGCTCTCCGTCATCTCTTTCTTCTCCTCACGCCCCCTCTTCCGCTCCGAGATGGATGCACCCGACATGCTGACGCTCTCGTTCTCGTCGAGCTCACACATGACGTCGCTCTGCTGCTCGCCTCTCGGGACAGGGCCTCGCGGTGCGACTGAGCAGACTTAGGCCGTCGTTGTCGGCCTTCTATGCAACCCCCCCCC